TTCTGTAAATCATAGTTTCTCCACTTAGCTTTATTGACTGTGGATTTTTGAGGTGTCCCCCTTTTCCAAAGACCATTTTGTTTACCTCAGGCTGTGGCAACTACCCAAGCAATGATGTGTCCTGTCCTTGGTCCTGTTGGTAGATGGTGAAGGCATTCAATCTTCACATCTGTGCTGAAAGTAGGAAGCAAGGCAAAGAAGGGTGGAATACTTAATTCCAGCACTTTCAGACCCAGCCATTTCTTCAGGCAATGACTGGCTGGCATGGCTTCTCACCATGGAGAGTGGGGCCTGTGTCCTCCGCTTGAGCTTAAAGGTCTCAGGGCTGTTCTACTAGCCCTCTCCCTGACTGTGACTGTCTTCTTTGGAGGGTTATACTAGGAGCCCTGAAGAGAAGTTATTTTAATTGTTCTGAATCCCAGACTTAAGTAATCAGCCTTTTTCCAAAAGAGCACTCTATTAAGTGCTCTCTGGCCATCTGGAAGGTACCACACTGAATTCCCTTTCTGAATGTTGTCTGCCCTGTGGAAGAAGTCACCTTGAAGCCAAAACCTACGCTGCTTTTGCAGTTCACAACAGCTGTCTTCCTGGGGTCCAGGCCACTGGCCCAGCAAACCGTTTCTCCCCGAAGCTATCTATCCTGGGAGCTTAATTTGTGTCAGTGGAGGCCGATTCCCCTTCTTGAGAGTAGAGGTGAACTTTCAGACTACTCTGTTCTTTTCTCTGCATTGTGCACCATTTTGCCAATGCCTGTAGCTTCTAATTTTACTCTTAGTTTCTTTCCAACTCCTAGCAATTGACTTCTTTATTCTCTTGCCAAGTTATTTTCTAGGTATTTGGATTCTGAATCTTGGAGAGGCTGAATTTTACTGCTGATCATTACTCTGCCATTTTCTCTCCAGCTCTCATCTTAACTGACCATGCATCACCTTATTCTATATCTTTACCACACTGCTTACAATTCTACACATGGCCCGGGCTGTTTTTGGCCGCTGTGCTTTTGACCACAAAATTCCCTATACCTGAAATGTTTCTCTCCCACTTCCTCACCTGGCTAGTTCCTTCTTTTCTTTGGAGATCCAGTTCAGCTCACTTCAAGAAGCCTTATTTGAATCCCCTAGACTTGATTTGATGCCCATATCTAAGCCTCTATAACATGCACTTTTTTTCATGGTAAGGGTACACTGTTTTCAGTATGTTGCTGGTGTTACTGTAAAATCTTTCATATGTTTATCTTTGAGTAGATTCCAAGATCTAACATAACTAAACTTAAATTTCTAATATAATTTTGCAAAATTTCCCCTCCTGAAAAATCTATATGCTCCTTATTTTGCATATCTATCTGCCACAGTTACTCTTCATATATTAGAATCATACTTCATGTTATCTTCTGGAATGTCCCGTCCTCTAAAGCTGGTGAACTCTTCTTGACCTTCAAAACTTCACATGATGTAAGGAACCTTCCTCAATGCCCTCCAAGGAATTAATCACTTCTTCCTCTGCTCTGCCTCTGAACTGTTATACACTCATACTATTGTGTTTGGAGCACAGTATTATAACGATTTCTTTAGTTTTTGCCTGGATGTGTAATGAGAGTAACAGATCTCCTGGAGCTATGTGCTTGAAGGGTGTCACTGTGGGGAAAATTAAAGCAGAAGTCACCTAGCCCACCCTTTCACTTTCTTAGAGGAAAACTAAGGCTCTGAGCATCTGAGTCTCAGTTTCCCTATCTATACCATGTCTGGTGATGGGTGATCGGTGAGTCATAAGCCAGCAATTATTTTACAAGTAATGAAAATAAAATTTTATAGATAGAGTAACACTCACGACTTTCTACTTCTTGAAGAACAAAACATTTTGACAGAGTATCAGTGAGCTGCAAAGAAAAACAGCTCCTAAAGTTATTAAGTGACCCTGAGGGTCAAAGTCAAAGGAAGTTGATTATTGGAAACACGGTAATTTATTTGTCTCATATAGATGGTGCTTTTAGTAAATATACAGAGGGCAGGCAATTCAACTCAATGAAACTCAAAAAGCATTTATTGTATCTGTTCTAAAGAACATATTAGGTTAGATGCCTTAAGGTCACCTTAAGAAACCTTGGGGGTTTCTGAAGTCTCACTTTCTGTGACAACTGTTTATTTAGAATTTAAGAAACTGCATTGAAGTTTCAGAGTGCATCTGTTGTAAACCTAAGATAAAGTTCTGCTACGAATTTTCACAGGCATGAGAACAGTCTCCTAGTTTATGCACTATTGATGGCAAGGCATTGAGCTGTCATCTTTCCTAGGAACATATTCAGATGAGAAAGTTCTTATGCACAAATAAACAAGTAAACAAACTGCTTACTGGAGACCCAATAGTATTTGAAACTAATGCATTTCCCAAGGTAAGCTTGACAGAAGATACATTAGCATTTGCTCCACTCCTGGGTGCCAAGGGAACTCATGTGGTGCCTCAGATAAACTCTGGACTTGGAGCCAGTGGTGTAGTTTGAAGATCACCTGTGCCACTCATTAGTTTGGTGTCTTTAGCAGAATCACTTAACTGCTGGAATCTTGGTTTCTCCATCTGTGAAGAGGGAAACTGTTCTAGCCCACAGGGCTTTTGTAAAGACTGAAAGAGGTCATTATGTGAGAGTATTTATAAATTTCAAGGTTGGTCACAATAGATAGTGTTGTCTATGAGATCAGAAGGGTGGAGAGAATAACAGGTTTAAACTCACATGTATCTATTTTCTATGTCCGTGGGAAAATGAAAATCTTTGCTTTCTTATTGCCTCATGAAATTAAAACATGTATTTATTTATATATGAACATGGACTTTAGAAAATATAATGACATATGAGTACACGTGTGTGTATATATAACCATGTAAAAGCAGAAAATAAAAACTTTCTTAAAATAAAACTTTAATAAAATAGAGTAAAATACCTCCCTACACGCTGTGTGATCACTTAATTTCTATTATTCCAACAAAACTTTGCAAGGTACATAACATAGAAGAAATGAAGGATAATATTGTCTGAGTGTATGTGTAGTTGAAGTAAAATGGTCTTATTCATATGGAAGTACAAATATCAGAAAGCCAAAGGAAACTGCACTTTTTTGTAAATATTTTATATTTTGCTTAAAAGTCTATCCATGAGCTGTGATTCTCAAAAATAATAAGAAAAAATAAAATGGAGAAAAAAAAAACACGAATAGTATGATTCTACTTCAAGTTAGAAGCAATAATATAAAGTTCAAACCTAGCAATAGCTAAGATTATGTTTAGTCATAGGTAAGAATTTTAGGCTGGTTTTAAAAATTGATTTGTTAATTAGGTGAACATCTGGGTTTTGGTTCGTCACTTCCCTTGGAAACCTTGATTAATTTATGAGATTTTCATCCCTATTTACTAAAAAAAGCAGTGAGTCACACAGCATTACACACCGATGACGGCAAAAGTTAATTGGATTCCGCATCTTTTTACTTTTCTCCCTTCAGCAATTCCTTGCTGCTTTGAGTGGAACCACGCAGTAAGGGAGGCCGTGTATTTCTGTGTGAGAGCGACAGATATAGAAATGAGAGGACTCACAAGTAACTGAAATGTGAATTTTTAAAAAATGTAAGCATAGGTTTTCATTTCCTTCGATTTTTGGCGAGAAACCCTGGAGAGCTAAACAAAAATATCGTCTAATTTAAAACTCATGAAGACATACGTGATCTTGGTACCTGCTTTTCTAAAATTTTGATTTGGGAATCGTGAATATGTTACTATCTTTCAGATTGTCTATGGAGTAAAACGTTTTAGGGTTGGGTTTAGGAAGAGGGACGCAGAGTCACCGTCGTAGTTCACTGGTTTTGTGAATGATGTATCAGCAGAGAGAATGGCACCGAGGAAGGAGAGGACACAAGACTGGGAGAGCGGGGACAGGTGGAAGGTTACTGCCGATGCTAACCTGTGAGCTCCCAGACCTGCTGTGGGAAGGCAACCTTTTTTTTCTCCTGAACTGTTACAACTAAGTTCTTTTTCTTTTTTTAAAAATTCATTCAGCTTATTGGTACATTTTAGGTATATGGTATGATGACATTCGTCATTGGGAATTTGTACCTTTACATGATGTATCTTGGTTCTTGCTTTTTTCCCCATTCCTCTGCCATCCCTTTAACCCCTCCACCTGGGTGGCAATCTTTCTTATCTTTGATACTTACAAATGACATTCAGTTTAGGAATCCATCCATAGATGTAAATCTGTATATGACATGATCTTGGTGTAAAACCACATTCACAAAGGGAAATTCATCACAGTGGTTATTAATCTTATTTCTGCTTTTGTTTTGTCTATTTTTCCTTCATCCCATTTTTCTTATCAACTTTATTTTTTAGGTGTTTGTTATCTTGTTATTCATTTATATGAACTACCTTAAATTCTTTCTGAAGCTGGAAAGACTATGAATAAATATATAAATAGCTAAACTGTGGAAATACTGACAGATTATTTGTTTCTAAGTGATTTTAGTTGCCTTAGGTGAATCTTCTGTGCTGCCAAGCATTCTGTGTGTTCACAATGAACGTGAGTCTTTTTTCCTTAAATAGGTAGTTTTTATTTTATTAAATGCAGAAGAAAATGTTTCTGGAAGAATGGATTAACTTTTGCAATGGAGAGAAGACCAGAAAGGAGGAGTCATGGGATTCAGTCTTAATTTCCTTTTCACCATATGCTCTCATGAAAATATGGAGGTACAATGTAAATATGGAGGTATACTTGAACTATTTCAAGAAAGAAATTTTCTATTTTTTAAAGAATTGCCTTTTCTCTATAAAACAACCAGCCATGGGAGAGTAAGATTTTTATTTAATAGTTCTCTGTAACTTATGTTTTATTGTACTTTGGAAAAATAAGAAAAAATTTAATTCTATGTATAATCGTAGATATAGGATTTTGTTTTTACTATACAAGACTAAAAATCAAGAACTTATAAAAACAAAAACACAGTATTTATTTTGATTCATTTTTCTGTTGAACAAAAGTTACATGAAACTTTAATAAATCCTTTCCTTAAGCATTTTGTACGTCTTTTAAAAAACATCCCTGACAAACACATTGATTGACAACCAGGCAGAAGGCACAGTCTTACTTTTGTGATGCAAATAATAAGAAAAAAATTGGGGAAGAAAATTGTAGCCTTGAGAATTTAATAAAATAAAGCCTGATGAGAAACTTGCAAATGTAGAGTTTCTGCATTTGTAGGTGAGAAAAGACAGGGTCAAGGTTGGTGTAGAAAGAATGAATTGGTGCTTTTTAGAAAAATTTAATATAAAAAGACTGACAGGGAACCATCATTCTTTTTTTTTTCTCTCAGTCAGCATGATAATGTCCACCATGTTCCTTGGTCACACAATACATTGTGTGCAGACTGGAAAACCTGCAGACCACTGTGGGTAACAGACACCTCTATTCTGCATGTAGAAGAAGTGGTAAGAGGTCCTGGAGTAAAAGTAAGAGGCTGCCTTCTTTACCGTTTCCAGAGGGATATACAACTCCACTATTTGTCCTTAGATGTTTCTTTATTATTTCACTCCAAAGTATTGCTCTGCCCAGGAAAATTCACCTAGTGAAGAGATGTAAGAGATATGTGAGCTCTTCCATGGATTTCCAGGTCTACAAGTAAAAGAACCTTACATTATTTTATTCCTTTCCATAACTGCAAATCATATGAGGATTTTGACATGACTCAGAAATTATACTTATCAATAAATACGAAGTGAAAGCAATCAATAAATTCTGTAGATAATCACCCTTTGAAACTCAAGGATTACTTACCTGAAGGACCTGTTTTCGAGATACCAACAGTTGGCCTCGGCTTTGGAAAAAACTTTGCCAAAAGTATTTAATAGTGTCAACAGACAGCATTTCAATAAACTTTCAGTAAACCAATATTTAGGCAAATAATGATTACTAATGAATACTAGAATATGAATATAGACCCTTTTGCCAATTTTTTATACACCAGTCCAATTAGACAATAGTCACGTGTATTCAAGAAAATAGTGTAAGAAATTAAAGAATGAAAATTTTGGTTATCTTTCTTACCTAAGATGTGGCGATCAAATAAAGGTATAAGAAAGTTGAATTTTTTCCCTAGACTACCACACTAATTTTGGAAATAGAGGATGGGGGAGATTTACTAAGCACCTGAAATATACATCATTCATGATAAGGATCTTTGAATTTAACTGGACCTAGAGAATAAAACCACAGGCAATCAGGAGAGGAAAAAAATGGTTTTGCATATTTAGGCAATATTTATTGTAAGGAGGAATATTTATTTTATGAAGGCTCATTAGTCTTTAGTCAAAATTAGCAAATAGGAGCCCATTACCTATGGCATGTTTAAAAGACTGTTTTATTTAATCTTCCTCCCTAGTACATAATAAACATCTTAGGAATATTTGTAGATTGTTTGTAAATAAACTAAGTGCAACAGTTGCTGATGAAAAAAGAATGAATTGTACTTGTTTTTAAAATTTAGAATGAGTAACATAAATCTATATGGAAATTGAAAATGTTGGTTTCCCATTTGGATGAGTTGGAAGGTAAACAGAGGAGGAAGATTTTAAAAAGAATTTAGAGAGAAGGGAGTTTGAAAGAGAAAGACAGGGAGAAAACGGGTTACACTCAGAAGAGGAAGGACGCAAAGAATGAAGCAAAGGATGAAAAAGCTACTGGAAGGCAAATATATGCAGAGAAACAAAACAGAAGAAAACAAAACAAAACAGCAAGCAAACTACAGAAAACAGGGAAAGAGACTTAGAGAAGAGTCAGGGAGAGAAGACTTCACCAAGGTTGATCTGGAGAGTGAATGAGCCCATACCCTGGGGCTGTCTGCCCTTCAAAGGAGCATTGTCTTACCTCACTATTTTTAACAGTGCTTTAAAAAGCATTTCTGCTTCCTCTTCAACCTTCACAATTTATTTTTTCTTAATTTTTTTTGGTACCAGGGATCGAACTCAGGTCCTTGTGCTTACAAGGCAGGCGACGGAACCACTGAACTAAATCCCTGGCCCCCAAATTTATTTCTGAAAGAAATTTTTGTATTTTTAAGAAATTCTAAAGAGTCTGCTTATATCTCAAAGGCCTCAAGTTTCAAAGGGTGATTTTTTTAGACAGTTTTGCACATGCAAAACAACCCAATCACTTTATTTTGTGCTATGAATTTGTAGCTGCCATGTCTACAATTTTAACTTAACATTTACTTTATTCTTAGGAAACTTAGAAGATAACCTTAAATTATTAGTTGGTTTGTTTGCATTCCAGTGAAAAAAGTAAATATGGTATTTAGATCAAAAGATATATAGAAAATAAATGAATTTAAATAGGATAATTATTTTACTGATATATAGGAAATAAATTTAAATAGAATAAATTTTTTTTATTGGATTCAGTCTTACGAAGCAGGCATATTCTCAAATTTTGGGTGACAGCTATGCTAATTAACTAGATTTGATCAGTTCACATTGTACACATTGATCGAAACATTGTACTGTACTTCATAAATATGTATAATTACTCTGTATCAATAAAAAAGAAAAAGAAAGTAAGAAAAAATAAATGATCGCATAATTTCCTATTCTAAAAGATAAAGAGGATTAGGTATCATTTAGATGAGTTTTTATTTTTAATCTATTTTATGGAATAATATCCCATTCTTGTAGTATTCTACTAGATTTAAAAAGTTACAAAATAAAAAAATATTGGAGTAAATAAGTTTTCTTTTCAAATCAGAAATTTCTAGCTCCATTAGAGACTCTTCCTAATTTTCTCAACTCTAGGTCGACTTTATCCGATCAGGGCCTCTGAAGTAAGTAATCATTCATTTCCCGCTTAAGTGACTGCAGAGTCCCTTCAGGACTGAGTTTCCACTCCATGAGATGATCTCAAATGCATTCGTTTACTCCCAGCTTGTTACTTTTGAGATTCTCCCAGAGGTGTACACGAGTTACTTTGCTGAAGCTGTTTCTTTTGCCAGAGGGGAAGTCTCCGTGTGGGTTTTATTGATGTTCTGTTCTAAGTCAGTGCATGACAAATAAATAATGGAAGATGGTTTGTGGCAGTTATACCTGCAGGCGGCTATAGTTCACACACACACAAACAAAAATTCCATTTAATTATTTTAGAAGAATACGGGCTTAGTTCCTCTAGGACAAAGAAGGAACAGAGACTTCTTAGTGGCAGCCTTGAGGTTAATTGGACAAGTCATTTTCTGGTTTTGGCCTCAATGATTTTCTGGTTTGTCTTTCTGTAGGTCTCTTCACTTGTAAACAGACAGCTTTGAGATGGAAGAGATGGGCATCTGATGCTACCTGGGTTGTATGCCCTCTCCCTGCCCCGTTTTAGTGACAGATCTCAGTTCTGAAATTACCACGGCCACTAGAAAATCATGAAGATAACCAAGATGGCTTGTGAACTGGCCTGTGTGTGAATTCCAGGGGCCATGCTGTGAATGGGAGAAATGTACATGGTAGACAGTGGATTCTAGAGCTCTGCATCCAAACCGCTGGCTCAAATGCATGGGCCCTGATGATATCTGTGTCTGCCTGGTTCTCAAAATTATTTTCTGATGGGGAGTGTCCTGTACATTTTTATGTGTGTAGAAGTTATCATTTACCTTAAAAATTTTTTTTCTGAGCCTTCCCATAAATTCTGAGGGAAGTGGAAGCTAAATGCTGAGTTCCCCCATGGCAACACCAGACACGACTCATACTTACTCTGGATGGTCTTGCTGCTGAGCAGGGATATGCTGAATAACTTCATAAATTGTGCTGTGCAAATCTCGCCCTGATACTTCATCAGAGGTGGGAACAGACCTGCTTGGCATCTGTAAGTGGCACATCAGAAAAACAAAAAGTTAAGCTCATCACTCAATAGTATTTCCATTATACTGTGCAGCTGAAAACATCTGGCAATAGTGATGATGAGAGGATTAGAGCTGTTTCTCATCCCTAGAATACTTATTTCTTCCTTGCCAGTTTCCTACAGTTACCTTTTGGTGGTCTGTATAGCAGCATAACGATAAGGTCGAAAGAGGAATAGCTTGACAAAACTATTATATTTTTTCTTTATTTAAACAGAAAGCTGGAAATACCATTAAGGAAATATAATAGCAGGGAACACAGCAAAAGGGGAGATGTGGCAGCTTGGAACAAGAGAGCACATATTCTTATCTTTTATATTACATCTTAATTACTCTTCTGACACTATCGGCCAGTTATATGTGAAAAATGGCTTAAAAGAAAGAACAGTGTACAGCCAGAGGCTCTACGCATATTGCAAGTGAGTAAAGATAGTACCAAGAAATAGCACACAAAGGGAGATGCTTTCGCTTGAATGTACTAACGTAAAATGTAAAAACTAAAAGTTTGGCTAAAATTATATGGAATATTGTATTTGTCTAGAAAAGCATTTTATTTGATTGAAGACATTCTATTGAAACTGACATTAATGCTTTATTAATTCCCATTCCTTCTATGTCCTTCTTCCTAAAGACACTGCCTTCTAATGATTTGATAGTCTGATTTTCCTAGACACCCACTTTCTATTTTCATCATGTTTCTGTGTATTTTCAGTTCTTCATATTTGTACAGCTTCGCCCAGAAGCCTCTGCCCTGAATAAGTCCGAGCAGTTCCCTGCCCCATCCCAATCTGACTTTCTTGGCTTTATGCTCTTTAGGAGGTCCATTTCCATTTCACTTGTTAAAGCTCTCAAGGAGAGTGATTTGTCCTTTCATTTTATATTGAGGAGACCTATGTTTTGTACTTGCGGTAGACTCTTGATTTCTCTTGATATGGTAAAAACAATCTATAGATGATCACTAACTTCTCTCACCGAATATCAGAACTGTTAAATAACAAATGCGTTCCTTTCATACAATTGCTTTCTGCTGGATTCCTGAAAGAGGGGCTAAATGGACAGTGAAACGTACAACAGGTAGAGAGAAAAGCATTTTCTTTTTTACACGTACCAAAAATAAATCCAAGAGATTATCTTCATTTTTAAAAACTGAACTATCCCCCTTCCACTTTGGGGAGGTAGTGTGTGGACTGGACCTGAGCGTTTCTACTGAGCTCAGCCCACCAGAGTGCTGTTATTTTCCTTCTTAACTTCAACCTTGAGATTTTGAGTCTGTGAGTATTTCTGTTCTTAAGGCCGTCATCTTTGGATGCTAGTGTTCCCATTAACTGCCATTCTGGCTATGGCTCACTAGATCCTCCTTTTCAGGCTCCCGTCCTTATTCCTCTCCTTTTGTTGCTAGTTTTGATTTCTCACTTCCTCCCCAAAGCACCTGGTCTTGCCAATTAAGAATCTCAGCAGAATTCTCAGGGGTTTTCAGCTTTGAAAACGGGCATGGCTCCAAATCAAGTTCTATTTACAAAAGAAATAACTGGAGCTTCCGAGATGCAATTAAGAGATCCATTTCTGTGCTTCATGTTCTTGAGCGTTCACAGTTGGAGCCAATAGAGGTCCTCCCAATTAGTAGCTCAAATCTTCTACCGATTAATCACAAGTCTAAATTTAAAATTTCTTACAGAAATCTCACTCATTTCCAACAAATTCTTAGGAGTAAAAAGTGAGAATTAATATGTGAAGAAAAACTCCTTGTCTCAAAAATTCAATTATAAATCCTTGCAGTTCTTCAGTCTCACGCTCCACTATCTGAAGCCACACCTTATGGGGTGCTTTCTGCCACTGTGTGTAGTTTTAAGTTACTGGTTTGCCAAATTTTTTTTTTTGTCTTTTTGTTGTGATAGCGAAGGGTGAGTCACCCTGCCTGTGATGGAATAGGGAGCTCAAAGCCCCTGCAGGCCAGCTCTCTTCTGCTGTGATGAGCGGGTGCTGTGCTGCTGATGCGCTCTCAGGGAGGGTGAAATCCAATCAACTCCTCTCCATGACTCACACGGTACTTTGGAAAAACCTGTGGCCAGGAGCCTGCTGAATGAACCTCGCACGGTGACAGAATGCTCTAAACCAGAGAAGTAGCCATTTCCTAGTAACAAGTAGTCCTTCGGCAAAATGCAAGTGAGAGCGCCCAGCGGCAAGCAGTCCCTTTATGGCCCTTTCCAAGGGGAACAAGGAAGCAGAGGAAAAACAAGTCCTACACAGATCTGGAACAGTGCTCATGATTAGCCGCAGACACCTTCAGCATATCTGTTATTATTTTAACAGACTGTCCCCCTAGACTGAAGAAATGGTGTCAATCCCCTCTATCCCCTATTATTAATGCCCCATTAGCATAATTATATAAATTTATACCTGCATACGTTAGGTGTATACCTAAACTTCTTTAGTACGATAGCTTCTTCATGGTGAGGATGGGGCACCTTCAAGGCTATATTCAACTGTCTTTGAAACGCATTGAAGACTTATAAGGAGAAAATGAAGGGAAACTGAGGAGCAGAGTTCAGTAAAGTGATGGGTTGCAGTCACTAAAGTAATGTAGGGTAATTTCAACCAGAGAGTCCCAATTCTCTATTGATTCGGATCTCTTGGCCTTCAGTCTAATTAATTCCTTCTTCACTGAGCTTGCCTGTAAAGAATGTGTATAATCAGCATAACTTCCTTCTTTGTGTTAGCTTTACTTATACAGGCAGAGAAAAATGCCCTAGCTCCTCAGATCTGGCAACACCACTCTTTACAGAGTTAATGTAGTAAGGGGTAACACAGACATTTGACTACATTGTCCGAGGACTTAAATGCATATTGCTTACACCTCTGGTGAGGCAGAATTCTACTTGGTTAATCAGCCACTAGAACACCAACCCTGGAAACACCAGATGCATCTGGAAAAGCAACAAATTCATATATTCCGAAGTCGTCCAGAGCATCTTCATGGCCTGAAATGGAAAACAGTACTACTTACAAACCCAATGTTTTGACTTGTTATTGCTTTAAAATTCATTATAAAACTCATCTTCATTGTCTGTGTGAAATGGTATGTGTACAAAACCAACTGAGTATTTCCTGAGCCCTGCTGGTCATACTGCTGTTGAGTAACACTGGAAATGAATTCTTTTGAAGCTGAAAATTGAAATTGAACTGGAACAATTATTCTTAAAGCCTGGGGACCTGGGGACAGTACATCACATATTCAGATGCCCATGTGTGGACAGGCTTATCCTTTGTAACCTTCAGTTACCAGAGAGTTGTGGACACTAAGCCTCCAGCCAGATGTCACAGCAGCTTTTGATCCACTCATAATATCCATTTTCCACTGCTAGATCTAACAGAGACCACCAGAAATGAAAAGAATATGTAAATAACTACAGCTACTTAGGCGTGCAAAACACTGTATGATACAATATTACCAGGCACCTAGACTTCATTTGTAAAATGATGGAGGTGGAGGTGGTTTGGAGGAACTGGATGGTCTGACATTTAATCTTTTGAGCAAGGGCTAGAGAAGCAGAACAACCATATTCATTAAGCATTCAGATAAAATAATTTTCCCCTGGACATATAGAGGACAGAGCCCCAGGTCCTGTATATGCCAGGAGCTCCATTGTTAACTTATCATCACTTGATGTAGAGTCAACAGCGAAGGCCACAAGTCAACTGGAGATAAAGAAGGATGGGCCCTGTCAAACCTCCCTTTCCTCCTTTCCTTGGGGTGGAGCTGCCAGCGTTTCATGGGAATAAACAGTTGCAGGCTTACTGGGCATTTTTGAGATAATGACAGGTCAATGAAAAAGGAGTTAGCAGAATGCAGTGGCTGGGCAAGTGACTTTGTCACTTTAGCTGTCTTGCCATAAATGTCCATGCTTATTTTCCAGACATGTGGCTGACATTAGACCAATAAAGGGACCGCAGTTACTATTATACTGGTATTAGCTTATATTAATTCTGTTGTATTAATAGCAGTACCAACTAATACCATTAGTTAATAGCAACAATGTTATTTTATGTTCTTTAATACAGCCCTTTTCAATCTGGCCATTACCTGAAAATGTTTGAGCTTTTCTGTATTCTGTTTCTGGCCTGAAAAGACAAGTAGATATTTCAGTTAGGGATAATACTTGAGGAAAAGCATAAAATTATTTTCACAGAATAAAATTATTTTCACAGAAACTTGTATATTACCTTCCTTCTAACTTCTGTCTTATAACTAAAGCCAAAAAACAAAAACAAAAACACAGTAAGGTATATTTTAATAGGTACATAAAACTTAGAGCTTTTTTTCCCCTAATTTTAACCTACCTTTGTAGGGTTGATATTTTTTCCATATGAAGAGAAGAAGCATGGATATAATTAAAAATAATGATATTCCCGTTATACTTGCTAAGGGGGACAATGATTTCGCTTTTTGTGCAAGCTTCTCCAGCCCTAAATAAAAAGAAAAATACATTTTAGTAATAAATTGCTATATAATTTGGTGTGTTTATTATTCTTTATCTTAAGATAATATTGCAAATTTCTTTCTTTCCTTGCTCTATTCCAAGAAAGAAACCAAATGGAGGGAAAGTACTTTATTTTATTTTATTTTACACTTTGGAATGTACTTATTTTAGAACACACACACACACACACACACACACACACACACACACCCATGCACACACTCCCCTCTGGGGATATTGGTGGATGGAAATACGAGCTTCCTGGGATCATACTGACACACTGTACTAAATGTAGCAAATAACTCACGTCCTACTTCTTATTTGTGTTTGACACCTTAACTTAGATCTATTTCAGTTCACTGTCTTCATTTCCCCAGTGCTAGATGTGTCCCCCCAGTGTTGTTTAAGAATGTGGATTTTCTAAGGAGTTAGGAAAAGTGCAAGAAGAAAGGTGTTTATTTTAAATACACTTTACTAATTTTTAACCAATCAAGATATGTCACTTAGGATGCATGTGTGATCATCAATACCTATGTAAAAGTCCCATTTTATAACTAAGATTCACTTTGAAGATGATTCCCTTTACTAATATCACTATAAAAATGTTCTAATAGCTAAAATTTGCTGAGCTTTTACAGTTTATCAATCTCTGTAGCAAGAGTACATATTAACTCATTGAATCTTCCCAACAGTCTTACTAGGGAGGTATTATCTGATCACCTCCCTTTGTGGATGAGGAAGCCAAGGCTTGCCCCAAGTCACTCAAGTTACCAGTGGTAGGTATGACCCCAGCATCTTAACACTATGCCATCCCCTTTAATGTTACTTTAATACAACTCAGTAAGCATGCCTGTGTTAATATCTGCTCCAGATGATAATGTGCTTAGTCATATAGTTAATCTGGAGGAGGAAGGAGTTGTGATTGCCAATAAATTCAAGTCATAAATAGATGTCTTCTCTATCGCCTTGGAACCCAGATATTGATGTGGAGATGAATCATGACCTTTGACTGTGTCTGCCCAGATTAATGTAGGAATGAAATCATATGACATCATTTCCCTTCCATAGTGGAGAACCCTGGAGAATTTGGGTGCAACAAAAACATTGTAACCACTCAACTATCTGTTAAATGTCAAGTCTGAATCCTGTCAAACCCACCAGAAAGCCTCTGTTCAGATTCCCAGAAGCCAAGATAAGCAGGAAGCCTTACTCTTTTTTTCCTCTCTCTCAGTATTTAAACAGATATTAAACCCATTTAAACCTTGGGTAGAAGAAGTAAGTGCAAGGTAATTTTCAATGAACTAGGATGGCAATTAATTGGTTCTAGTACTAAACTAGAACCTCATAAGACTTAATAGAAAAATAGTCTCTTCTCTTTGTTAATAAAAGTATTTCTACTGTTAGAAAGTTGGCCTTTTTGGAACTGTGTTAGCACTTGGGTTATCTTTGTGAGGTCTTAGCCTTCTACATTTTTCTTTTTTACATTTAGTTTTCAATATTGTGCTCCTACTTCATAGGTTTGTTCTCTAAAGAGCTGTATAACTTTGGGTGAGCCACTTAACTCTGAGAGCTTTGATTTTCACAGTAGTAAAATGAGGAAGTGAGAACAATAGCCCTTAGGTTGTAGTCTTTTGCTTGTTTTTGTTTTTGTTTGGTACCAGGGATTGAACTCAGGACCTTATGCTTTCAAGGCAGGCATGGTACCACTGAGCTAAATCCCTGACCTCTTAGATTGTACTCTTGTTCCAATGCTCTAAGATTTGGCATACCAAGAGAGGCTTATGTGAAGCTTCTTACATAAATTGGATACTATATCCAGTGGCATACTAGTAACCCAGTCTCAAAACATTGCAGAAGTATATACACTGAAGTTACTTATTTCATTGATATAAAGGACATGTAGAACATAATTTACAAATAAGTAAAATATTCAATACCCTTTGTTGTTAGTTCCACATAGCTAATTGATTCTTGCAGCATGCATATATATGTATATATATATTTATTTATAAATGCACATATATATATATATATATGTATATGAATGAGAGAGAGAGCAAGCTGTCCACCTATGGGTGAAATTCAACCATGTTTTGGTAAAATTAGACTTCAAATAAAAGCTGATCAATATCCAATTTGGGAAAGTAATTTTTAACATCATCAATGAACAAGTATAATATTAACATGAACATTGGTTGGTTGGTACTTAATAAGATGAAAGAGAAAGAACAACGAAGTATAGAAACTTCATTTATTCATCGAAGACTTGAAGAGCTGCTCAACTGTTGTTAGTTTTTGAATACTGAAAGAATATTTCCTCAGTTTGTGTGTGTGCATGTGTGTGCATGTGTGTGTGTGTGTGTGTGTGTGTGTGTGTGTGTGCCATACATAATGTAATAGCCAGAACAATGTATTTTAAGATCAGTTGGCACTGTTGTTTTCTCCATCATTTTCCTAAGTTTAGAGGATCTAGTTATAGACAAAATTTCCTGAGTTTTCAAAAGTACTATTTTCATTATCAATAAGTTTAAAATGTTTTCTAACTTTTATGGAAATTTCATATTCAATGTGAATATGGATTATTTACAAATGAATGATTTAAGCTTGTTATATTTAGGAGTGTTCTAGTTTCTTTCTTTTTTAGTTTAATCTCATTCTTGTTAGAGTATATTCCTTTGAATTAGTGAGTTTTTGAAATGATCATCTGAGATCATATGAAAAGAAGGCATGCTTTACCTCTGTTCTATGTAGTGTTCTATGTTGTTTCAATTAGGCCAGGTTGATTTTCTTCTGTACATCTAGTAACTTTTTGTCTGTCTATGAATTACCGAGAGAGATATGTTAACATGTAGTTTGTGGGGTTTTCTATTTTTCTGTCATATTTCTCTATTTATTAGGTATAGTTTAAGGCTAACTTATTAATGCATTCACATTTTCTGCTGAAGACCATTTTACTTTTACGAAATGTCTATATTTTATCTGAAGTAATGCTTTTTGTCTTCAACAATTTTTCCTAATTCTTTGATAAATTTTTTTGATATTGGTATAACGCTACTATCTTTCTTCTGGATGTTTATATGGTTTATTTGTTCATCCTTAGTGTTTAGTTTTTCAGTATCCTTATATATAAGGCATGTCTCTCATACGAAGAAAATAGAATCTTAAAATCCAGTTTTAAAACATTTGTCTTTTAGTTGGAATATTTATAGTCCATTGACACTTAATGTGATTACTTAAACATTTGGGATTTGATCTGCAAATAGTATTATTTTTTCTATATTTCTTGCCTTTTCGTTTCTTTTCCTCTCCTTAATTTGAATTAAACAATATTTTATTTTATCCCTATCTTCTATTTAGTTCTACATTTTTTTTGTCCCTTAGACTTTAGAGACTTAAAAAATGTTTTACTTGAAATTAGTTATTTTAAGTATCACTGCTTTTTTCTGCTTCTGCAGTGCAGGAACAAATTCTTTTTTGAAGATGAGACATTTACAACTATAAGATTCAAACATGAATTGAGTAATGCCTGACTATATATATGTTCTTTCTACCACTACTTCTTGACCATTGTAAGGACAGACTTTTTTTTTTCCAAATTAAGCCTAAATCTTCTCAACTCTATGAATTAAAACTACAACAGATAAATGAAACCCATTCTCTCTGTTGTGTCATTTCAGTTGTGTGGTGTGAAACCCATATCTCCTTGAATGTTCTCTTTTCAGATTCAAGAGCCCCAGATCATTTTGTTGTTCTCTATAGGTTTTCAGATTCTCTGTTATCAGAAGGATGCAGTTTTGAAAGCTAAAGAAAAGTTAATCAGTTTCACTCTTAAGCTATACATTTAGAAGAATTCATACTCCACTATTATTCTCAATAAGATAAAAGCCAACAAAAGGCTATCTGAGACACTAAAAGTGCTAAAAAAGAAGAAAAATGATAATACCAAATAATAGAAAAACAAGATTTAAGATATATGATTGGAGGACCACTTTTAGCAAATTAATTCTCTATGTCTTCATGTTAGATCTGATGTTAAAATCAAAATTAATGAGAATTTTCAGATAATGAACAACTAAATATATGTGTATTATGCATATGTAAAATCAGATGTATATATGTTACTCATTTACTTGGTATAATTGCATTATAATGATAATAATGAAATTAATTAAAAACTTCACAGCATCACTTATAGGAATAGATAAAGAAATAGTCTCAGAGAAACTAAAATATTTGCCATAGTCATTAAGTTCCAGAACAGAGGGTGGTATGCAATTTTGTTTTGTTTTGTTTTCCTGTCCAGGATTTTTTTTCCTGTTACTCTGTCAAAAATGTTTTTTGCAATTGGAAATTAGGCTCCTGTAAGTCAGTTTCTCTCTAACACTAAACTTCTTTCTAACACTAAATGTCAGGTACTTCAAACAATTTTACTTCAAGGTAGCGTGATGGCCTTCACCAAAATTCAATAATCTCGGTCCTCTTAAAAAAAAAAAAAGAATTACATTCGAATTTACTTTATTTAGGCTCCTGCAATGAGCTTTACCATGAACAAAATGGCAGAAAATCATTTTCATATACTATCAGTTGTTTTGAAACTCAACTTGAAAATACACTAATGTTTATTATTTCAGTATTATATTTTCATTTTAAAGGTGAAGTTTCACTTTGGCATACATCAGACACCGTGCCAGAATATTCTATGATTCAAAAATTATAGTAGGTTTATTAAAAAATGATTGGCTGTCTTCCACTAAGGCACGTAAGACACATTTTCTCTCCTTTCATTCATTCTTAATTTTTTGTCTTTTTTGATGTGTGTTCACTAAAATGGCTGAATTTGTACATTCTCTCCTATAGAAAATTGCATACTTTCCATTTCCCATTTCTTGTTTCTCTAGACTCTCCTCCTATTGCCGTCTTGCCTTTTCTCTTGACCTGTTTGCCCTACATCAGAGAACCGCCCCTAGTGGCCACCACCTGTCACCCTGAAGTCTTGGAGCCTGAGGAATGGAGACAATCCTTTACTCAGAACAAAAGATCTTCCTGGCCCTCTTTTCCTCTTGACTCTTTTCTTCTCCAGGATCTCTGCTCTTAATATGGCTTCTCTGTCACAGAATACAAATTGAAGAGCACAGCTGCTGTGGTCTCAGACCTAGGCAACTGTGTTTTGGATAGATGAACTTTCAGAATGAAAATAAGATAGTAGGAGGGCCAGGGATTAAGCTCCGTGGTACCATGCCTGCTTTACAAGCACAAGGTTCTGAGTTTGATCTTCAGTACCCAAAGGGGAATAAAAGCAGGAAAACTCTTACTCTGTTGTCCCAGAGAATGTACAGAGATCCCAGTGCACTTCTGGGCGCTTGCAACAGCTCCTTTCCTTCTCTTTTCAGAGAGTTTACACTATTCATTAGCACATAGCATGCCATTCTCCCCATTATTTAAACATGATGAACTCATTTACCAAAGCCCGAGGACAAATGCTATTTGTCCCCTCCTTAGACAAACAAATAAAATGGAATACATGGTCAGTGCAAATATGAGCAAGAGGTGTGGTATCCATGGTATCGCATCCCTGCTGTTGAAGAGACTGCACCCAAAACAGTACAGCCATATGCTACCAGTCATTGAGTTGATTTCAAATCAGAATGGAGTCCTAAGCTCTCTCTGAGTCTAATGATTATGGCAGCCGATTCATGAAGATGAAGGCAACACACTGAAGAGTGTAGTGTGTTATTTCTACACTCCACCATGAGCACACTTGACAGATGCAGTTATTCTGTGGTAGATATTAAGGGGAAGTCACCCAAGGTCTCAGGCTTTGGAATTCAGGGTTGCCATTCTATCTTAGTTGTTATCTCTGGTGGCCTGAAGTGAAGAACATCTCCAGGAGCATAGGACTTGAGAAATGTGTAGATAGATAGAAGAAATTAGATTTTAATATAGTAGATTTCTCAGGGTTATATATAAATTCAAAACATTTCTATTATGGCTAAATCTTAAATTAAGGCTATGTAGGCCTTAGGGAACTCTACATTTGGATGCCTTTAATAAATGCAAACATTTGATTTTTGAGCAGATAATTATATTTCTATAAACATTTTCATTATATATGTGTATGGATAGCACATCATAATAGTGAATCAGGCTCAGTTAAAACTTTAAAGTGGTAACATCTGCATTCAAGGAAGTCATTAAAGCAATAAAATCATTACTTTTCAAAATACAAATGCTAATATGTCATCTTAATAACTGCTGTTTCCTGGGAATTACTAGATATTAATTTTAGTGAGAAATGCTTTATAATTTTTCATTAATATGAAATAATACATTACGGACAGAGTATAGGATCTGTATGTGTATAATGTTAAATCATCTAGGATGATAAGAAAATACACACCATGGTCTATATGTTTGTAAGGCCATGGTCCTATCAATAGTCTCAGTGACATCAAGGCATATAGTTTGTATTGTGGTTAAAAAGAAAGTCTTCGAATTCAGGTATCATTTTATCACTTTCTAGCTGTGTGACCTTTCCCATTGTCTCTGTTTTCTTTAGGACATCTACTCTGAGATACTGAAAGGTCAATTAATAATGTCTCAAATTAAGAGTGCATCGTGGCCCACAGAGGTGGAAGTTACCATCTGGTCTAGTTTTACCCAGGCAGAAAAATGCACAGTCAATTGTCACTTTCTCTTGCCTTCCTCTCCTCGACTGAAAGTCCTCAATGAAACTTCTGATTATCCCTTGACCTTGTCATTTTCTTCCTATATCCCTGACCTTGGAGTCTTCTTTGATTCCATTCTCATTTGTTTTCCACACACTATTGCTGAGACTTTTTGACTGGCTGCATTTTTTGCCTCATTAAAAACAAAGAACTTCATCTGTTTCCTATAACTTGACTCTGGTTACACCAAACATCAGCTCACTCCTGAAAACATCTCAAAAGCAGGCACCTTAACCTTGGAAACGATTTCAAATTCTCCATAGTTCTTATGATAGCTCGTTCATCAGAGTGGATGGTCAGTGAATCCTGATAGTTACACTTAGATCTTCATTACAGAGGTCCTTTCATTTGGAAATGTAGGAAAAAAATTAAACACTTAATAAAACATGCCAATATTACTCATTTCCTCCTCAATTTTTCTGCTGTTTGATTTAAGATTCTGTGGGCATTTTGGAGTTGGAAAATAGCTCTGAAAACCACAGAGACTTCACTAATGTAGACAAACCGTGAATCCCTCTGAAAAATAAGCACCTGCTCTTTGTATTTACTATAATAACAAATGCCTGGTATTTGCACAGTCAAACAGGATTTTTAGATTTTTTTCAAAAGGCAGTTATATGACATTAAGACTGTAGCTGTCTCGGGGCATGAGCAATAAGATCTTAATCAAATATCGGGGCTTCTGATACTATGCAAATATTCTGGCTAACTATTAAGGAAGAAAGTTTAGGCAGCGGGAAAGCCTTACCCGTAACATACTTCTACATGGTGTAGCCATGATTTCACTCATGATGAGCATAAAGAATAAGTCTAAGATGACACTTCAATTGTTAACAGCTTACTTATCGTTTGTTTTTAAATTATATTGTTGTTAGCTACTAGAATGACAAGCTGGTTAAACCTATTAATATTTTAGAAAAGTAGAAAGTGAAGGACTTAGCTATGTTCATATTTGTCACCCATTTTAAGTCATAAACAGATATTATTGTTAGCAGGAATTTTGTTTTCGTATAGTATACTCAGCAATTATTTGGGTTTGGCCTACATGGGTGCTTGAGTAATAAGTGAATAAATGCTTACTTTAAAAACCCTGAGTACATAGACTTTGAAGGTCTACAAGAAAATATATTATTTACTGCCTGCAATAAAACATAATTCAGGTAAAAATTCTAGAGCTGCATTCTCTAATATGGTATTCACGAGAATGCCATATTCTATATTACAACTGTTTACATCTAAATTAAAATTAAAAAATAAAAAAATCCACTTCCTCAGTTGAATAGTCATATTTTAACTGTCCAAAAGCCAAATGAGGCTAGTGGTTGTCATAGTAAAAAATATAGATATTCAAAATTTCCCAAATTGCGGCAAGTTTTACAGGATAGCACTTTTCTAAAGAGTGTAATATTTTCTCCATACTAAAAAAACAACCCACTGGGATAATCTATAAACTCTAATATATGCCAGATATTTTGCAAATATGAATATCCTTAACTTTACAAACTTCTTAGGAGGATCTACACACTAAATATTTGTTCATCAACCTGCAGGTTTGCAATAGTGTTTTAATTCTTTTTGGCTCTTTAAAAGTTTTTTAGAAAACTTTAAGTTCTGTGGAGGAAATAAAGTGGTTGTCGCATTTGTGCCTGCTAAAAATTTAAATTGCCAGGTTTTACTTTCAAGATTTTCATCGGACAGGTCTGACGTATCTTACTGAAACCAACCCCCCACGGTGATTTTGATACAAGGGCCACATAGTAAAAAATTTAGCCCTAAGATCATAGGCTTATATTTTTGCTTCATTCAAAATACAGTGGGCTTCTCTCTTATGGATCCTATCCTAGGTAGTATGGTTGCAAAGATAGAGAAAGAGAGAGCATCAGTGGAAATAATAGCAACAGGCACCTTAACCACTGCTTCCTGTTCAAATCTGCCCCAGGTTTTCCCCAAATGGAATCTGGTTTGTATTTTTCTGTATGCAAAGGACTTGACAGTGACAATACAAGTAGTAATAGATAAAGAAAAAGAAAAGGATGAATGAGAAGGAAGAAAGCAGAAAGGTGAAAGTTGAGAGACAGAAGAGTAAGGCAGATGAGGAAAAAAAGAGAGAAAGAAGGAGAAAAGCAGATGGATACAAGAGGCAAGCAGGAAGGAGAATGGTTAGAACTCAGTGATTGAATGTGGTGCCTTCACCACAGTACAATATACAAAGGAAAACAGTCTGGGGTGACATTAGATTTCTGTCTTAGGTTGGTGGAGGTCAGGAACGTTCACTTAAATAGGGAATACAGACAGAATAGCAATTTATGGGGAAAAAGATGGTTCAGTTTTGATACACTGTCTCTGCTAATTTCAAACTAATTCCAATTCTGCTCATAAAATCAGGAAAGCAATAATTTCTCTCCATTTCGTTTTGAGTTTTCTTTCTTTGAACCACAGAAACCATGATGTAGTTAACCTAGGAAAGAGACTTTCTTAGGGTATACGAGCAACTCCAAAATAATTTTCTCTTCCACGTAGGTATTCGATTGCAGAAAGCAAGGCTGACATGCATTTGTGCCTTACTGTGATCTCTTCCTTTCATGTCACACTTACCTACAGATGTGATGATAACAGTGAAATGAGTTTCATCTTGCCTCCCAGTTACATTGTTGTAAGCACAGCACACAAAGTCAGTTGTCTTCTGTGCTACCTTGTCTGACACCACTTCCAAGAGAGGCCCATGCTTAATGACATATGTTGCATTTTCAGTGTTCTGGATCCAGGAGTAGACGTTAGGGGGATAAGAGTCAGCTGAACAATCAAATAGGACGGCTTCTCCAAGGTCAACAGTAAACACTTCCCCTACTTTTAGCCCTTTATCAGAATTAACTCGAAGTCCATAAGGTCCGTCTGTATTGATGTAAAAAAAGAAATGGAGGGGTAACATAAATAATCGCAACATAGATTTTGGGTTTGGGAGAGCTTTTACTTTTCTTAGAAAATCTTCACATTAGAGTTGAGAAAACATATCTTTTTTAGACTTACAATATCCAATGAGGACCCAAATATGTTTTATTCTGATATTCATGAAAACTGAAGTTATTTTAGATGTGCTTGAACTTATTTGAAGTAAATTTACAATTTTACATATACTTAATTTACAAGTTTACATATATTTTAACTATTATTGTGATGTTAAACTTTTCAGTAATGTATTGGCAAATGTAAATTCTTGTTAAAAATGCAGTTTTTCTGAAATAGTAATTGTACTTAGAAAAATTTTTCCAGCACATTATAGCCATTATTTTCTCTTTGGCAACCATGCTTTGAATGCTGTCTGTATTTCTTCTCAGTGCTAGGAGAGGTCACGCAAATATTTATCAAAGACCTAGTTTCACAAGGAACACAGATTTGTGCAAATAGGTATAGGAGTGTTTCATATTTTCATAACATTTTCACAGTTAAATAATTTAAAAAATTCCTTCACCTTATCTAAGTTTAGGACTCCATTTGGAAAAATATATCTTCAGTTTCATTAACACATATCTATTGATCACCAGCAAACTACTTAATCATGGATATCCATGGTGTTTTTCTTATACTCAATACTCTTGTAGCATATTACCATTCCTATGGTATCTGATCTCCATGAAGACACATGTTCATTGCTGTTTTCAGAGAGAGAGAGAGAGAGAAAGAGAGAGACAGAGACAGAGAGAGAGACAGAGAGACACTGGCTGAGTTTAAAAAAACTCTCCAGCCACATAAATTTTTCCATCTAGTCTAAATCATGGCTTGCAGTCTAAAAACCTTCACATTTTAGGCTGCTCATTTTTCACATGATCATAATGGACATTTATTAGACATTTGCCATGTAAAGATACTTTAAATGCATATACATATGACCTCATTTAATCTTTAAAGCAATCATATGAGGTACATGCTATTGTTCCCATTGTAAGATTTAAAAAAAATTGTTTGCCCATGGTCACATAGCTATTAAATAGCAGAACTAGGACTTCTAAAATACATAATCATTCATATTACTTCCCTAAGAAGAAATAAAGTATGTCATATAATTTTCTACTTCAAAATACTTTCTTATTCCCTAATTATTAGTTTTATAATAAATTATTTTCTAATTATATATTAATTCTGTAATTAGTGAAATAATCAATCAACAAATGTTTATTTGAGAGATACTAGTTGCAAGGTAATATATCTAATATACGAGAAACAGAAACAATTTGTAATCTTAAGGATTTTGCAGACTGGGTTTCTCCATAGTGGCCTAATCTCAAAAGTCTTGATTTTGTTTTGAAAAAGTACCAATTACATATCTCTAGATAAATGTAATAATATAATGCAGTCTCTAGACCTTAAGGTCAATAATTTTATCAATCATTAATTCAATGTTCTTTAGGAGTCATTAAACTTTTTTCATCTCACTTTCCTCATCTTTTAATATAAAAAGATGGTTCCATGACTGGTTGCTGAGGCCTTTCCTATCTGTGAAACACCCTGATGCTATGATAAAGCCAATCTCAAGTTTGCAGAGTGGTTCCCCATGAAGTCAGCATCTTTTGATTAATGTACCATTGGGAAAACAGATTTCCTAAGATAAAACAGAAACTGATGATACCAAGCAATGGATTGTATTTAGCTATGAAACATAGACTTATACACATTTGCTTTCTAAAGATGTAGAGAAATGAGAAGGATACTATACTTTCAGAAAGCAAACATAGAAACTAGTCTCATCATTCCTTGGTGTCCTAGGAGACTGGTTCTCCGATCACCCTCAGGATACCAAATGTGCAGATGCTCAAGTCCCTGATATAAAATGGCATAGCATTTGCATGTAATATACATATATATTTTATATATTTTACATTGTCTCTAGATTGCTTAGTGTGAGTACAATGTAAATGCTACACAAATGGTTATAACACCTTCTTGCTTCAGAAATGACCTGAAAAGTACGTATGTGTTCAATACACATGCAATATTTTTTTCAAATATTTTCAGTCTGAGGTTGGTTGAGTTTGTTGTGGAATTGGTGAATATGGAGGGTGGCCTGTCTTCTTCTAAAATTCAAAGCAATTAGGAATTTGAGGTGGATAATAAAAGTGAGGAATATCTGCCCCTAACCTGTGACTATACCAGGACTTTGTCATTCGGTTCTCTCGCTTCAGGATCTGAGGGAGTCTTGGGTGAAACTACTGGGGTTTAGAACAATGTACTTCCTGTAAAGTGGAAGCCTCTAGGTGAATTCCATTAAGTATAAGTAGTGTCATAGTGATAAAAATTTGCTGTTACTCGCTCAACCAAAAGCGTTATAGAAATGTTACTCAGTGTCTCCAGACCTTACTGAGTGTATGCCATTATTTAGGCACCGTGCAGAAACATGAAGAGTTGAACCTATGGTTCCTGAGGCTGCACCTCAGGCAGCAGGGTGCCTTTGGTTGTCACACTGATGGAACATTAAGGAAGCAAACACTTTTAAGAAGGGCACCCCAAAGGAGGTTCACTTGGAAGGAAACCAATAGGAGAAATGGACTGTGGTTGGAAGCGCAAGAGACTTGAGTCTATGTGTGCAAACTAGTCTCGAAACCCTTCTTGATAGCAGAGTAAGGCAGACTTGGTAAGAAGACAAGTATGATTATAAAAATATAGTCATTCAATTTAGGCCTCTGTCTTTACCCTGTCGTTTTGAGTTTACAAAATGTGCTGTAAAACAGATTGCTTCAGAATTTAACAAATATAGAGATTAATTTACTTTTCCAGTATGCTCACATTACTCAACACTTTTTTTTTTAAACAAACTCCCCATTTAGAATTGCTTTAGGAGCTTACAACATGTGGGGTATTTTTCACAAGTAGTAATTCTCCAGTTGTGGAGGGTGAATTCACTTTTAGAGGAAGCCCAGTCATTTATAACCAGTGCTGGTGAATAAGGACAATTGAATTTAATAAAGTCACTGTAGTTTAAATTAAAACATAGTTTTAAAGAGGAACCTGATTATCTTAGCTGTTCTTCTCTACTCACTTATGTTTGATTTTGCTACTTGCTACTTCTTCATTTGTTGTGTTTTATGATTGACATAATTTTTACTTTCTTTCTTTATATGTTATATCTGGCTTTTCACAGTCATCCTCAAAACCCTCAAATTGTCAGGTCTGGTGATGCATGTCTGTAATTACAATGCTCTGGAGGCTGAGGCAGGAGGACTGCCATGAGTCTGGACTACATAGTGAATTCAAGACCAGCCTAGACTACACAGGGAGATCCTGTCTCAAAAAACAAAAAAATAAAACCAAACATATGTCAAATCCTCTAGCTTCTCTCTTTCCCCCACAAGCAGCTCTTCTAGATCTTGGAATTCCATACCTTGAGGCATTTAAATTCCTTACTTCTAGTCTGGAGGTGTAATTCGATGGTAAAGCACTTGCCCAGTGCTCTCAGTTCAATTCCCAACACCAACACCACAAAAAATAAAATAAATTCCTTGCTCTGATACAATTTCTTTTCTTTCCCCTCATTGAGTTTATTGGTACATTTTAGGTATACAGTACAGTTACATTCATCATTGGGATCTTGTACCTTTCCATGACAGGTCTTGGTTCTCATTTTTTCCCCATACCTCTGCCCTCCCTTCACCCTCTCCTCCCTTCCCTATTTACAAAAACTTTATTTCCATTTTCTCATATTTTTTCTTTTCCCTTATTTCTTTTCCCCTACCCTTCCGACTTCCCCTGCACCTTTAGCCCTTTTCTATTTCACAATGTCAACTATTTCTTAAAAGCTACATATTTTATCTGATTATACAGTTTAACAAATACATATTCACTGTAAACAATACTAAAATTCAGAGAAGCTTAACACTGAAGAGTCACTTGTAATTTTACTGCTCAGAGAACCATCATCTCCATTACAACGTGTGACCAAATCTGTTACTCTGTCTCTCTCTGCCCCTCACATACAGACACAAACCCATCTAGCTATATCTGACACTGTACATGCTGCTTACAATCTATATTCTTCTGACTGCACTATGATGTTATTTCCCTTATCATTAGCACTTCCCTTTACTTTGAGTTGGAGTCTAGAATGTTACTCAGATGAATGGGCAATCCAGTTGGAGACATTTAGAGTGACCCAACCACAGCAGAAATATAGTCCATTTTGATTGGATAATGGTTTACTTTCTTGCCTTTGGCAGAGAGTTCCCACTGGAAATGAACTCTTTGTGTCAGGAATGGTTGTTTACTAAATGGCTTGTAAAATCACATATCATCTGTTTTCTTTAACAATTTATGACTGGGTGGGAACAGTACCTAAATTTCCGTCATGATATTGCTTGCCATCCTGCTTGGGAGCAGATGGTAAGTATTTACTGCAAATGACCTTTCTTTCCCCCTTTAATTTTTATCACTTAAAGTACTCCCCTGCCATGGTGCCATATGCTACATACAAAATATGGTGGCTACTGGGTGATTATTCACAGCTGCAGCTAGAAGGCATATACATTTTGTCAACTGCAAGTAGATATCTATCTGAATTATTGACTTGACATTGTATTCTACCAAGGCCGGCATCAGTTTATGACATCATAACCTCATAAATATACAATCAATCTTGTTAGATTTTGTTAAACTTTCTGTCAAAATAAAAACAAAACAGTTTCTGCTTTCATGAAGAAAACTGTCAAGCAAACAGTGCTTTTAGGAAACAGTATGGTTTATTCATGCTAGAATTGTAAATTATGATGTGGATCTCTATGGGGGAATATTAGAATATGACATTTACCTGTTTGTTTGTTTGTTTGTTTTTTTTTTGAGACAGGGTCTCACTATGTAGTTGAGTCTGACCTGGAACTCACTATGTAGCCCAGACTGGTCTCGAACTC